AACTGCACGCCACGGGACCCTGACCAAACGTCGGTCCTGGACGATTATTTGAGTGAGAGTGTGTTGGCATATCAGTATGGTACGGTAACTGCACGGTCAAGGACAATAAATCACTGCAGAGGGTGGTGAAGATCGCACAACGCATCATCAAGATGCCACTCCCCTCCATAGCCTCAGTCTATGAAAAGCGGTGCCTGCGAAGGGCACGAAACATCATCAGAGACTCTTCCCACCCCAACCATACACTGTTCATTCCCCTACGTGGCACCCGCTCTGGGACACGCTACCGCAGCCTCCCGGGTAGAACAAACAGGACTACGCACAGCTTCTTCCCTTCAGCAGTCAGACTGCTGACAATGAACCCCACGCTGTCCCATACTGCCTAGTTGTTGTCGTGTGCTGTGTTGAAGCGCAATTATCCTTGTACATTACTGTTGTACAGTACTATATTCACTGTATTTATTATTATCTGTGTATTTATTCTTATTTATACATTTCCCATCTATTTACCTTCATTTTTGTGTCATTTATTTTGTACATACTTCTGATAATTGTTTATATAACTGACTGTTTTGCACTCTGGTTAGACCCTCCTTAATTTCGTTACACTGTGCACTTGCATTTTGTAATGACAATAAAGTAATCTAATCTAATATGATAGCTGACATTCACAGTAGGACTTTTTTGTATTTTTGTAACATGACTAACATGTGCATTAAAAGTATGAATAATTTCTTACATTAATACAATTGATACACTTTTAAACAATGTTATGTTACCTTAAAATCTTTATTTCAAAAAATAAAACTTAAAGATCAAAACAGACATACAGCGTTTATTTCACTTATATTCCCATTGTTATTCAAGCTGGCAGTGTTTATTAACACTTTGTTTTTGGCATAGTGTCGAGCATAGTGGTCTTATAGTCTGATTGTTTTTCTCTTCTGTACTGTGTTGTTCATTAAAGTGCTTTGGTCAGCAAACACCATAAACATTCCTTATTTTTTCCTCTTCAGTGAACAGCCTGGGCATCAGCGATGAGCTGAAGCAGAAGTTACAAGACGTGATGGTGGACAGACATAAACTAACCCTGGGAAAGACCCTAGGAGAAGGTACTGCTTTGTTTATTGGCTTTGTTTTACTATGAAAAATACTAGTCTCATGTCTAGCAGCTTGGGTTTAATGTCTACAGTTTAAGTACAGGGACTGCCAGACAAACAGCATGGTGAAAGAGGCATTTGTGACACCATTGTCTCAGGCATGGTATATTTAATGGTTAGGACTTGCTGGGCGGTGGTTGCGAAGTCCTAAGGGACTTGGCTTGGCAACTGGAAGGTCACCAGTTCAAGTCCCGGAAAGACCAACAGCTACCGAGGTGTCCCTGAGCAAGGCACCGTTCCCTACACTGCTCCCCGGGCGCCGTACATAATGGCAGCACACTGCTCCTAACACTAGGACGGGTCAAATGCAGAGAAACCGTTTCGTTACATAGTACCTGTACTACGTAATCACAATAAGTAGAATCTTTTTTTTTTTTTTTTTNTAATCAAATAAGTATATGAACATAACCAACAACCTACCAAAGCCAATAACAAATAAATGTAACTTATTTTATTTTTGTTGTTATTCATATCTTATTTTACCTTAACATTTATTTATTCGTGCATATTTTTTTATCTCTCCAGTTTAAAACGATATGTCTGGTTTACTGTCCTAGTATACATTGAAATTATTTCAAACCTGTTTATCCCAATAATTATAAAGGTGTGCCTTTTAAAATATGTGTTTA